AAGAAAATATAGGAAATCTTTGTGACCTTGGGCCTAGGTGAAGGATTCTCGGAAAATGTACAAACTATAAAAGAAAATGAATTGGTGAGTTGGTCTTCAACAAATTTAACCGTTGTTCTTCAAAAGATACCATGAAAAAGGCAAGAGCAGCCGCCGTGAGGGAGAAAACATTGGCAGTGATTCCATCAGACATAGGGTTTGTATTGAGAATACGTAAAGGACTCCTGCAACTCAGTCATAAGACATAGAAACTTCAAAATAAGTGGATTTCAACCAGCCATTTCACAAAAGATATGAATGGCTGGTAGGAACATGGCGTGTGACTCAACATTTTCAGGAGATGCTGATGTCTCATTTGCGGGCAGGTGTGCAAAGTCTCAGGCATTAACCCAGGACCTGTCTCTAAATTCCAAAAATAATGGCACACTTCCCTGATCAGCCAAATCAGATCCATCCATTTATAAGACCACGTGCAAATTCCTTAGAAGGGCTTCCCAGTACCAGGAGCATCCCTCTCCATACCTGCCTTAATTGCCTGTCACATGGTCACCCAAGGGCCATTTTCTTGCCTCTCCATGTAGAGTGGTTTGCAGTTTCTGCTCCAGGCTTTCTATCCCATCTCTGGAGACAGCATTATTTTTTCAGGTCTTAGTCAGAGAGTCCTTTATTGCTTGTAAAGTTTGTTTCCCTAGAAATTATGACACAACAGGTGCCTTCGTGCACACCTACAGTCCCAGAAACTTGGAGGATGAGGCAGGAGGATCTCGAGTTCAAAGCCAGCCCCAGCAACTTGTGAGGCCCCAAGCAACTCAGCAAGACCCTGTCTCTAAATACAATATTAAAAAGGGCTGGGAATGTGGCCCAGTGGTTAAGTGGCAGTGAGTTCAATTCTCAGTACCTAAAAAAGCAAACAAAAACCAAACAACAACAACAATACTCTATGACACTAAATTCTAGGGTTTTTTTCTTTGGGTTGGGTTGTTTTTCCCCACTGTGGGTGACCCCTTTTTTCTCATTAATGACTTCAGACTGAAAAACATTTTTTCAAGACTTACTTTCCCTGCAAGAAGTCAGGCAGCTGGCATCTGGCAGATACCTGGTGATTGTCCTTGGAATAATGAAAATGGCAGGCTCTACCCATCACAGGAGAATGACTTTGTCCTCACCTCCTGTTTTGGAAAGCTTCACTTACTCTCATTCCTGGCTGAACACTATCATCACCTGGGAGCATTCTAAAATTAGCAGGATCTGGCCTCCACTCCTCAGATGATGGCTCAGGTGGTCTGGGATGGGCCCAGCAGGCACCGGGCAATTCCAATCTGCAGTAAGGCTTCAGAGCCGCTGGAAGGTTAATGGTGAGAATGGCTGCCTCCTCGCAGAGCTCTGAGTGCATCTCCCAAATCAGGTCAGTACCATCTCATCACAAAATTCTTATCCTGAGGCTTCTACTTACTTTGCATCCCAGCATCATTCCCACAGACTGCAGCTGTTTCCAGGAGAACAAGGAAGGGGACAGAAGAGGGAGGTGTGACAGCCGAGGATTGCCCTCTTCCCTCAGGAAATGCACAGTCCCCTGCCGCAGTCTGGCTGCAGCAAAATAACGGGGGGCGGTGACGAACAACTTGTGTACATTGATACAGCAGGAGTGGGAGCCGTTTATTGTAGGACAGGAGCAGTATTTATACATTCCACTCGCTGATGTTACTTCACAAACCACTCCCTCTGGCATTTTGCCAGGCGCCATCCAGACTTGTTTACAGACTCTAACATTTGCCAGGCGCCATCCTGACTTGTTTACAGACTCTAACAGTCCCCAATCCTCAGACTTCCCCAGACATTTCTGCTTATGCTATTAATTGCAACCGTGAGCCCATTCTTAGACTGTGCAAAAACAAACAAACAAACAAAAAATCCTATTACTTAAGCCCCATTGGAATTCCAAATGCCGAATATGTGGAATATGGTATCCAAGAGGATATGTCTCTATCTGTGTACGTGTATGTACATAGAAACAGTCACCCACCATATGATGACATTTCAGTATGGATGGATGACATATATAATAATGGTCCCAGAAGATGATAATGGAGCTGGGAACTTCCTAGTGATGTTGTACCATTCTAATATTGTAGGGTTTGTGTAAAAGTATAATATATGTAATTATGTGCAGCACATAATACTTGATAATGTTGCTGGTCTATGTATTTACCTTTATCATTATTTTAGAATGCACTCCTTATTAATAACGTTTGCTGTGAAGCAGTCTCACACATCCTGTGTTTATCACCTATCTTGATGGCATCACATGGAGTGATTGACAAGATCACGTAGGTTTTGGGGGGCACATTCCAGGATGTGTACACAATGACCAGATTGCCTGTGACCTGACACACAATCCTCAGAAGGTATGCCTGTAGTTGAATGACACATGACCATAAATAAAAACAGAATGTGCCAATAAAGATACATATATGGAAAGAAAGGGGAGAAAGGTTTTAAGGAATTGTCTCATGTAACTGTTGGGGCTGTTCATTTGGACAGTTTTAGGATTGGCCAACAGACTGGAAATTCCAGTAGGACTCTATCTTGCAGTATGAAACCCAAAGGCAGCCAGGGGGCACAATCCTTCCCTTCAAGAGGTCTTGGTCTTTTCTCTTAAGGCTCTCAACTGATTGAATGAGGCCTACCCCATTATGCAGGGGCATCTCAAAGCATGCTGATTGAAATGTCAATTTCATCTGAAAAATACCCAAGGCAGGAAAAATCACTTGAGCCCAGAAGTTTGAGCCAGCCTGGTGAGACGCTGTCTCAAAAATAAATAAATAAGCAGCATTTTGTCAGTGAGGTGTACAGATGAACCAAGGGACATTGATGGACATGCCCACATGGGCGAATCAGAGTAAACAGAAATTTAACATGTGCAAACGTGGCTTAGTCCTTGCTCTTGCTCTTCTATATTAGCTGTGCCTCTCCTAGATTCAGTTTCCTTACCATCTCTCAAGGACCAGATAGCTATGCTTTAGAGAATTTACAGCTTTAACAGCCTATGGATCCTGTCTGGGTTGGAGGAACAAGTAATAAAGGGAGGGGGAGAGAGATATGGGAACCTTTCATTTAGCTACATTAATCAATTGTATTTTAAATTTATCTTGGCAGGGTGTGGTGGCCACATTTGTAATCTCAGTGACACAGGAGGCTGAGGCAGGAGGATCCCAAGTTCAAGGTCATCCTCAGCAACTTAACAAGATCCTGTCTAAAAACAAAAAATTAAAAGGACTGGGGATGTAGCTGAGTGGTGAAGTGCTCCTGGATTCAATCCCCAGTGCAAAAAAAAAAAAAAGAAAGAAAGAAAATTCACCTTGTATTAGTTTACAGTAGACTACTTTCAATGTTTTTTTTTAAAGAGAGAGGGAGAGAGAGAGAGTTTTTTAATATTTATTTTTTAGTTTTCGGCGGACACATCATCTTTGTATGTGGTGCTGAGGATCGAACCCGGGCTGCACGCATACCAGGAGAGCACGCTACCGCTTGAGCCACATCCCCAGCCCTCAATGTTTTTTCTTTCTTGAATGTCTACCCAGCATCCAGGTGCAGAGCTTAGATGGGGTAGCAAACAATCGTGTCTACACCACAACATGGTAAATGCAATCAAGCTGACTAGTGGTGGGGATGACTAGGAAGGGATGACTGGCTTCAGAGCTGGCTCTAAGTCAGGCTTAATGGCAAGTGTCTATGACGGGCAGAGGGTGGGCAGAATGAATCCTATTGACTACTAACCCTTATCTTCAGTTGCTACCACATTGACTTAATAAAAAAATTTGGGATCTAAACTGAATCCTTTCATGAAGCATCCAGTCTTCTCCTGGTCAAGTCTACATTTGTCACACTTTCCAAAAAAGAAAAAAGAAAAATGAAGCCCTAGAGCCCATAAATATGACATATTGAGCCAATAAATACAGTTTACAAGTAATTATGATTTACATGCAGTATCCAGTAGGGATTTTATAGTATTATAAAACTGAAAGTTGGGATCCCACCAAGTTCTCCAACAGGGATAAATATACCACTGTGTGCAACTCTAGATGCTCAGAAAATCTGTTTACCAGTTGGTGTCCCAGGACTGCCGGCCTTTGTGCCTGCTGATTTATTATTTATCTACAAGGCATAGAATTGAAGGAACTTTGCCAGAAGCCTCCAAGCCTCATGTAGGGTTTGACCCTAAAATTGAAATTGCCAGGAGTTGTGGTCTGAATATGTCCCCCACAGTTCATGTACCGGAACCGTAATTCCCAGTGCAATGGTGTTGAGAGGTGGTGAGAGCTTTAGGAGGTGTTTAGGTAATTAAGAGGAATCAACGCCATTCTGATAGGACTTGCTCAAGTCACATTCTTGCAAGACTGAATTAGTTACTTCAACAGTAAATTGTAGCCAGGAATGGTGGCACATGCCTGTAATCCCAGCATCTTGGGAGGCTAAGACAGGAGGCTGAACTCAGCCTCAGCAACCTAGCAAGTCTCTTGGCAACTTAGTGAGACCCTTGTTGAGAGCCACAGCCGAGTCAGAATGGCCCCCTGGCATTTTGGCATAAGTAATGGTTGCGAGGCGAGCCATTAAGGTGATGCTGGATTGATTCAATTGTATATAGACCCCTGCTGTCCGCCTTGGGCGCCCACTACTTTGGAGTTCTCCCCGGGATCTCCTGGGGAGTTCGTGTTGGTTGGTGAAGTTCCGGTGGAGGGAGTTCCGGTTGGTGTGGTGTGTCGGAGAGGGGCCGCGTGGGTGGTGTTCGGGAGAGTTCCCGGGGAGTGTGCGTGGAGTGCTGTTGGAGTTCAGGCAATAAAGTTTCCTGTTTGAACATACAAGTGCTTTGTGGCGGCTCCGTGATTTGTGCCCAGCCAGACTGCGGCAAATTACATAGAATATTCTATGTCTTATCAACATTAATTCTGAGTATGTCTAAATAAGTCTGCATATTTAGACAAAAAGTGCCCAGCACCTACCTGACAACCACAGTGCTCATCGGAGGCTCTTTTATGTTCCTCCTCCATAAGCAGCACTTCTTCCACCCGTCACTCACATTGTTCATGGCTTTTCTTTGCCATGAGTGCATTCTGCTTGGCTTAGGAGTCAGACTAATCTCTTTCGGCAATTCATGTCTTGCCAAGATCCTTTCTAAACAGGAAAATTCAGATATCTCACCTGGTGATAAGATAAGCATTATTACAACTCCATGTTCCTTTCCATCTTTGCATAGCAAGAGTAACTTAGCATTAAAGTAAGAACGGACACTCATGCCTTCTCATAATCCTTTTCAGCTGTGTCATTTCTTTATTCCAACAATATTGCTGGTGCCATTTAGACCTTAACCTGGTCCTGGACATCAAATGGAAGCACTGTAAATGCAGGAATAAATGACCAAAGCATGAAGGGACTACCATGAATACTGTTGGTTACTTGTGCATGATTCTCAAACTTATGGCAAGTTACCCTACAATTATTATTATCAGAATTCTCATCTTCACTTTTTTTATATTTTTAATTTTTAATATTTATTTTTCAGTTTTCGGCGGATACAACATCTTTGTTTGTATGTGGTGCTGAGGATCGAACCCAGGCCGCACGCATGCCAGGCGAGCGCGCTACCGCTTGAGCCACATCCCCAGCCCTCTCATCTTCACTTTTATTGCATACTTAGAGATGTACATTTTGAAGCCTCTCAGAAGAAATGGGATGAATGCTGACAATACTGTCCAGCTCTTAATTTGGGGCTTCAGATTACTGGTGACTTTGCCTGAGCAAGGGCTACAACATAAGAAATCAACTTAAGGGGCTGGGGATGTGGCTCAAGAGGTAGCACGCTCGCCTGGCATGCGTGTAGCCAGGGTTCGATCCTCATTACCACATACAAACAAAGATGTTGTGTCCGCCGAAAACTAAAAAATAAATATTAAAAAATTCTCTCCTCTCTCTCTCTCTCTCTCTCTCTTTTTTAAAAAAAAAAAGAAATCAACTTAATAGCATGCCTCATCAGGAAGAACGTGGGAGTGTATTTTATCAATCATTTCTGTTTCTATAAAATTTATTTCTGGCCAAAGATAGACTGGCTTTTCTCACTTTGTTCTAAGCTTGTCATTTTTGGGGTAGGCCAGTGGGAACTGTCTTCCTTCTTGAGACTCAAGGTTTGGACCTTTGCAGCCTACTGCCAGAAATCTCTGGGTGGCCAGAGGTGCAATCATGATGACAGCATGGTGGAACTGCTTTGAGAAGATGAGATCAACACCAGGGGTGTTCGCATCCTATTTGTCAGAAATGGAACAGCACCCTTCCCAGGTCACCCTTCCCAGCTCCACAAGAGGTAGGTGCTCCGGGATGTTCTTCTAGATGATGGTGGATGAACCTAGTGCTTCCCCATTGCTCACTTAGTTTTCAAGAACAATGGCAGAATGGGCTGAGAATGTCACATCCTGAGATAAAGGAGAGCTGGTTGGAACACCCTGGTCTGGCCCAGTCTCCTGTCTATAAACCGGATGTCCTTTAATGCTCTCACCCAATGACTCAAATAGCCAGGGTTATAACACCCAGAGTAGACTGCTTTCCAAGATTCCTCAGCTCTGGTGAGAGTGATAATCACACACAGATAAGACTTTATCCAAATGAGCAGCTTTTCTGAGCTGTCACACCTTATAAGAAATGGGGATCCAGGGAGTGTCTCTGAGAGTTGGGAAGATGTTCCACCAAACATTATAGTTCAGGACCTGTAAGCAAGGGGCTGAAAGAAGCAGCCACAACTACTACTATGGAAATCTGAACACTGTAGGAAGCTATTCATAAGGCTTTGGGATGGACACACTGAAATCCAAGAGAAAAAGACCAGTGTTTTGGTATCTGAGACAGGTGATAATTGGTAGTATAGGATTCCATATTCCCAATGTCACTCCTATCTATCCAGGTGTAATTCAGCTTTCTAGAATTATTTTCTATCTTGCACCAGAATATAATTAAGCATACTGCTTCTTTATCAAGACAGACTTCCTGAATGAAAAGAAAAAAGAAAAGAAAAGGAAGGGGAAGAGAAGACCAGCTAAGCTGACTACATAGTGTTTTTATTGATAAAAGTTGTCTTATATTGTAGGGTAAACTTCTTATCTCTTCTTCAACTGTAACAATTTGAGGACTAACATCCACTTTGAAGATCACACCTTGAGTAACTCAACGGTCCATTGGAGCAAATTAGAAAATGAGAGAACACTCAAAAATGTTATGCTGGAAGAGAAGCAGACCTCACAGAGATTCAAAGTGAGCCTGCCTAGGAATACGATCAAACTGGTCCAGTTCTCTTTTCTCCAGCTTAACCATGATGGTCCCTCCCATAGCATGATAGTAAGCAGAACCCCACAGTACCATGAATTGGCTCAAAGGATCTTAACTTGGCAGTCTGACTAAATGGTATATTGCTGGGTGAATAGGTTGATCAGTAGAGGCCTCAGAACCACTTCAAATGGGTCAAGCACAGGACAGGAAACTGAGGCTCCTGCTTGGTGGTTTAAGGCCTGGGGGCTAGATAGCCTCTACCTACTGCCTTTAGTGGCAGTACCAGTATCAGGATTTCTTAGTTGAGTTTGATATTTAATTTAATTAATTCAATTCAGGTATTTGATAACATCCACTTAAAATCTATATCTATATACTTTTATATTTTTTTTTTCCTCAAACAAAAATTTTAAATGATTTTCATACATATTCCTATGGTTTTACTGAGCGTTCCCCCAAAGGACCATTTGCAAAGTCTTAGTCCCCAGGGTGGCACTATTGGATGCTGCATATCTTTAAGAGGTCCTTAGGTCATTGGTGGTGTGCCCTTGAAGCCAATTGTGGAACGATGGTCTTTGTCTCTCCCTCTCTTTCTCTCTCCCTCTCCCTCCCCCCTCTCCAGTTGAAAATGTAGTAATTTGCTTGCTTCTACATGCACTGCCACCATGATATATTACCATCCACTACCCTCACCAAAACTGAAAAAGTGCAAGTGTCATGTCTTTGAAACTCCAAAACTGTGAGCTTAATAAATCTTTTCTCTTTATTATTTGCCTCAGGTATTTTGTTGTAGTCACATGAAGCTAATACACATATACATATTTTGATATTTTAAAACATCTCAGATACTCTGTAAGTAACTAGGGATAAATGAGAGAAAATGAAAGAGAAGAATATTCAACAAAAATGATAAATTATCATGTTCTCTAGTATGAGTGATTATATTTTAGTACTGTATACCATGATAAGATAAAAACTCAGAACTCACTTTGAACATTTAATTGGGCCATAAGGAAGTGTTCTAGTTTTTCAAATAAAATACAATAAGTATATGATGCTTCAAGAAATTATTTAAAACTGAGGGCACAGCTCAATGGTAAAGCCCTTGCCTAGCACATGTGAGGTCCTGGTTTGATTCTTCACACTACAAAAGACATTATTTGAAGTAGAATAATATTGATCATAAATTTATAGGTGAAGATTTGGAGATATTAGATTATACACTGCTTGAAGGTTTTATTTTTATTTTAAAGCATGAAATTAAGTGCGTGTTGGATGGCTGGATGGATGGGTGGATGGATGGATAATGGATGGATGAAGGATGGTGGATAGATTAGAATCACATTGAATACAAATCAACATTGACAAAGTATATAACCAGTTTACCAAGCCACCATGTAGATATTTATATGTGTTTGTACCAGAAAGTTACTTTGGCACCTAATTGTATTTTCCCATGTACCTAAAATCACAGATTTGACAGTTGCCCCAGGACTACTAGTATCTGAACTGCATATACTTCTGGTAGTCGCCCTGTAGGTCTCCACCAAGGCCACCTACTCTATGGGAACAGCTCTTCCCTACTGCCTCACCTCTCCTAGTATATCCCCACCAACTAGCTAAACAGCTCAGAAAGTATTTGGGGGCAAAAGCAATAAATTAACCAAGAGAAGTAACTTCTTTGGAATTGAAAGCAATGAACAAGCAAAAGCTTAAACTTCCACTTACCTACTTTTCAGTTTGGTACAAGTAAGATATACAAGGAACTGAGTTGCAGAATATATCACACACCATCAAACCAGTAACCATCAATATTGCTCCCCTGTGTGTGGGGTGGGGGGCATCAGGAGGAAGAGCACCACTTGAGGAGACTGTGGATGCAGATGGAAGCTGTTTATGTTTTGGAGACAATTATCTAAACAGCAGTATAACTGAATCCATATAGTATAAAGGACCTTCATTTCTCATTGTTATGATCCAAGTCATTATTTAAAACATAAAAGAAAAACTTGGGTGTTGTGATAGACATTTTCCTCCCTCCCTCCCTCCCTTCCTCCCTCCCTCCCTCCCTTCCTTCCTTCCTTCCTTCCTTCATTTTTGAGTAAGCAGTATAGTCTAATACAGTCATAGCTTCCTTGTGGATGAGGAGGGCTTTGGCAGGGGAAGTAACAAAATCTATTTTTAAGGTTAAAAGAAATTTTTCCCAGAAGCTTTATACACAGTAGCAGTGAGATATCAGAATTCATTACCACATTCATAATATGATGAAGAAGAATATGAGAGATAGGATCATCTCCTTAGAATTGTCTTTCGAGGCAATCATGATACATTTGGAAATTGCATTTTGAAAGTGAAGCAGCCTTGTATAAAGAATTCAGGGCCTCCAAGGCCAATGTGCCCCTGATGGCTGGACCTTGCCTTAGGCCAGATCTTGAAGACACAGAAGTAGAACTCAGAAGAAACCCCTCTTCCCTCAGTGCCAACAACCTCAGCTGTGTCATGCACTTCTTCAAATGGGCTTCCAACCAGAACAAAGGATCAAGATATCAGAACACCTCTGACACGAGGGCACCTCTCAGCAAAATGCCGACCATTTTTACCTGGGAGGAACTACAAGGTGCTAATCACATCAGTGTTGACAGCATCTAAGCTGGGAGACTAACAAAACATAAACATCAGCATACACCTGGAGGATCACTAGAAAATGGAAACCTGCTTGTCCAACCTGACGTAACCACCCACAGCCTTTTCAATGCTAAGTTTCATTTTCTGCCAGGCACGGTAGAGCACACCTGTAATCCCAGTGGCTTGGGAGTCTAACGCAGGAAGATTGCAAGTTTGAAGCCAGCCTCAGCAACTTAGTGAGGCCCTAAGGAACGATAGCAAGA